CGCCAACTTATGGAGAATTGCCCGGACACGTTAAAAAAAGGTTCCAATAGCCATGATGAAAAAGGAGTCTGTTTACAATTGAAAGATAATTGCAAGTCATTCTGGGTTGAAAAGAAAGTGGATGGTAAACCAGCAAAAGAAGAAGAAAAGAAAGTGGATGGTAAACCAGCAAAAGAAGAAGAAAAGAAAGTGGAGGATAAACCATCAAAAGAAGAAGTGAAACCTAATGAGGGGATGAAAATAAGAATTCCTGATATGATTAAAATAATGTTGTTGGGAGTGATTGTTATGGGGATGATGTAAAATGAATGAAAAAAATGTTAATAGAATGAAAATGTGCATATATCCATTGTTTATATATAATAGAAATGTAAATGAATGAAATGAAGTTTTAATTATTTTAACACAGAATCTTAGTTCGAAACTATGCTTTATTTGGTAAAGTTTAAGCTTATCTCAGAACTAGTGAGCTCTTATCGTAGAAAAGCTAATAAAATTTATGATTATGATAAGAACTCTAACTTGTAAAAAATCGTTTCAAAACAACTTTTCATTCACCTGCCTACATCCAACTTAGAAACAATGTTTAACTCCCCCCAAATAGGCGGCAATGGCACGGCCGGTTAAGAGGCAAGCACCACAAGGAGCACCAGCAGAGGAGATTAAGGAGGAACACCTTTTGGCTTTCATTCTGAAGAAGGAATATAAAGATGAAAATAAATGCAAAGGAGAACTCAAGAAATATTGTGAAGAGTTGGAGGAAATAGATGGTGGTTCCGATGTGAATAAAAAAGTTAAAGAAATTTGTGATAAAACAAAACGAGACGGAAAATGCAAAGACCTGAAAGACAAAGTTGAAGCAGAATTGGACACTTTTGAAGATGAACTTCAAGATGCATTGGCAGATATAAAAGATGAAAATTGTAAAAAATATGAAGAAAAATGTATACTTTTAGAAGAGACGGATTATAGTGTTGATATTAAGAATGGCTGTCCCAGTTTGAGGGAGAAATGTTACGAATTGAAGCGTAAAAAGGTGGCAGAGGAGCTTCTTTTGAGGGCGCTCGGAAAGGAAGCTAAAGAAAAAAACACATGTGAACTAAAGATGAAAACTGTTTGCCCAGTGTTAAGCCGAGAAAGCGACGAATTGATGTCTTTCTGCCTTAATCCGACTAAAACATGTGGAGAGCTGGGGAAAAAATTGGTTGAAGTTTGCAAACCTTTACAAACAAAATTGGAGAAAGATTTAGAGGAAAAGTGTCATGAAAGACTTGAGAAATGTCATTTTTACGGAGAAGCGTGTACTGGTGCGAAATGTAAGGATGATAAGGAGCAATGCGAGAAAAATGGAGTCATATATAAAGCGCCAGAATCTGATTCTAGTCCGGTCAAGCCGAAGCCGTCGTTGTTAAGAAGTATTGGGTTTGATGATGTGTATAAAAACGCGGAAAAACATGGGATTATTATTGGAAAATCAGGAGTGGATCTACCAAGGAAGTCAGGTACAAAATTTCTGCAAGATCTCTTGCTACTGTTGAGCAGAGATGAGAATAATAAGGATACAGTAAAAAAGTGCACTAAAGCGTTAGAAAAATGCAAAGATCCTAAGTATTTGGATCATAATTTTAAAGAGTTATGTAAAAATGAAACTACTAAAACCGAAAAATGCAAAGAATTACTAAATGTAGAAGAAAGATGTACGAAACTCAAATTAAATCTTCATGTGAAAGGGTTGTCTACAAAATATGATGATAAAGAATCAGAACTTTTATCGTGGGGAAAGCTTCCAACCTTTTTTATAAAAGGAGAGTGTGCAGAACTTGAGTCGGAATGTTTCTATTTAGAAAATGCGTGTAATAATAAGATTGATGAAGCATGTCAAAATGCAAGAGCAGCGTGCTATAAAAAGGGACAAGACAGGATGTTGAATACGTTGTTTCGAGAGGAGATGAAGGGAAAGCTTGCTAATATAAAATATTTTAACGATACTAAAAGTTGCAAAAAATCTGTGGCAGAAAAGTGTGCAGGACTTGATAAAAGATACTTTTCAAAATGTCTTTATCCTAAAGAACTATGTTATGCGCTTTCAGATGATATTTTTCTTCAATCAAAAGAGTTAGGTGTGCTTTTGGATGATCAGAGAGATTTTCCATTAGAAAAGGATTGTCTTGAATTGGGGGAGAAGTGTGATCAACTTAGTAGTGATTCATTATTGAATTTAGAAAAGTGTATAACATTGAAAAGACGCTGTGAATACTTTAAGGTTACAGAAAGATTTAGAAAAGTATTTTTAGAAAGAAAAGATCATTCATTATATAATGAGCAAAATTGTACGAAGGCGTTGCATGAGAAATGCCATCAATTATATAGGAGGAGAAAGAATTCATTTAGTGTTTCATGTGCTTTACCAGAAGAAACATGTAGTTATATGGTATTCCATACAAGTCAAGATTGTAGTAGTTTAAAAGTCAACATCAAGAATGAAAAAATTCTAGAAAAAATTGGAGCAAATGGAAATGAAGCAACACTCGAAGAACTCTGCACAACATGGGGCCGACATTGTCACCAACTTGTGGAGAATTGTCCAGATCAGTTGAAAAAAAAAGATGATAAAGATAATCATAACTGTGATGAACTCGAAAAAAAATGCAGTGAAACTTTTGAAAAGTTGAAAGCAAAGGATGATTTGACTCACCTGTTGAAAGGCAGTTTAAGCGAGGAAGAAAAATGTAAAGTAGCATTAGGAAAGAATTGCACTGAGTTGCAAAAGGATAATACATTCAAAATTCTGCTTACTAATTGTGAAGAGGGCACCAAGGGAACTGTTTGCAAAGAATTAGTTGAAAAACTAAAAAAGAGATGTCCTACTTTAAAAGACGGACTGAATAAAGCGAAAGATGAGTTGACAGAGAAGAAAAAAGAATACGATGAGCTCAAAAAGGCGGCAGAAGAATCTACGGAGAAAGCTAAGTTATTGCTATCAAAGTCTGGAAAAGTCGCAATGCCAAGTGGACAGGATAGCAATGGTTCTGGACCAGTACCAGCACCAGCAGGATCAGGATCAGGGTCGCCATCATCACCAGCAGTGCCACCACCACCAGGGTCACCACAAAATGGAACGCCAGGCACACCAGGTGGAGAAACAGGCGCATCAGGTGGAACACCAGGCACACCAGGCACACCAGGCGGAGCTCCAGGGACACCAGGTGGAATGATGAAGTATGCAAAACTTGGACTCGTTAAAAGAGCGTATGTAGACGGAGGTGTATCAGAAGCAGAGGTAAAAGCATTTGATGCAACGACAATAGCATTGGAATTGTATTTGGAATTGAAAGAAGAATGTAAAGCTTTACAACTAGATTGCGGTTTTAGAGAGGAATGTCAGGAATCTAAACAAGCTTGCGAAAAAATAGACGAGTTATGCGGAGGAATAAAACCATTAGAAATTAAGCCTCATCATACAGAGACGCAAAAAGAAATCTCAACCACTACGACGACCACTACAACGACCACTACGACGACTACTACCACGACTACTACCACGACTACTACGACAACCAAGCCGGGAAGTGGAGGAAAAGTAACAGAAGAGTGTACAATGATACAAACAACAGATACATGGGTGACAAGTACGTCATTGCATACGAGTACGATAACGAGTACATCGACGGTGACGTCCACAGTGACGTTGACCTCGATGCGCAAGTGCAAGCCTACCAAATGTACTACTGATTCAAGCAGAGAGACAGATAAAGGAGGAGAAGGAGAAGAAGATGTAAAACCGAATGAGGGAATGAAAATAAGAGTCCCTGATATGATTAAAATAATGTTATTGGGAGTGATTGTTATGGGGATGATGTAAAATGAATGAAAAAATGTTAATAGATTGAAAATGTGCATATATCCATTGTTTATATATAATAGAAATGTAAATGAATGAAATGAAAAATAAACTTTTAATTATTTTAACACACAATCTTAGTTCGAGACTATGCTTTATAAGGTAAAGTTTATGATTATGATAAGAATGAGTCTAAGTTTATCGTAGAAGAATAAGTGAGCTATATTGTTTATTTTTAAAAAGCTAGTAAACTTTATGATGAAAAAATTAACAAAATCTATTGCTTATCCTAAAAAACCAACAAAGTCTAAGTTTATTGCAAAAGAATTAATAAAATCTATTGTTTATCAAAAAAAAACTAATAAAATCTATTATTTATCAAAAAAAAAACTAATAAAATCAAAGATCATTATAAAAGAATTAATAAACTGTAAGTTTATTGAAAAAAAACAACTAAACTTTATGATTATCTTAAAAAAATTAATAAATTTGTTTATCGGAAATTAGTCCGTCGTTAGGGAGAGGCTAGTGGAGATTTGATAAGATAAGAGTAAATTGGAAGGAGTTTGATTGGAGATTAAAAGGATGGTTCAATTTAAAAGTATTTTAAAAGTATTTTTATTAAAAGTAACAAATTGGATAATGTTGAATTGATTTTTCATTAATTAGAACAAAAGACCAGAATTTAAAGATGTTTTTACTAAAAGTAAAATCAAATCAATTTTTATTTAAAAATAATAAATTAAAATGAAATTAAAAAAATTTTGTTAAAAACAGTAGATCATATCAAAATTTAAAGAGGGTTTTTATTTAAAATAAAAGATTGAATGAAATTGATTAGTAAAAACAAGAATAATCAATTAAATAAAATTCAATTGATTTTTTATTAATAAAAAGGAGAGAAAAAAATAGAGAAGGTTTTATTAAAGATAATAGATTAGATGAAAATAAATTGATCATTTATTAGTAAAAACAAGGGGACAGATTAGAGGGTCTTGTTGAAGATAGGGTTAGGATTAAGTGAGCTAAATTAATTTAATACTAGTTAAACTTTAAAAAAGTTAAGAATTTCTAATTAAAAAGTTAAGATAAATAGTTTTTTTTTAACATTTCATCATGATTTTTAAAATACTCATTACTTTTTTCTTATACTGGATCTATTTAGTTAGAGTAAGATGTGAAATGGTGCCAGTAGACTTTGAGAATAATGATTATTATCATTTTCATTTCTCAGAAGATGTTGATATTGAGGATTTTTCGAGGGCGTTAGGATTCAAATATCATGAGAAACTAGAATATCTGGATAACCAGCATATATTTTCTATAGAAAAGGGTGTTTTAGAAGACGAAATTAAAGAAAAAATTGAGAATTATTTTGGTTTAGAAAAAGGAAGAAATGCAATAAATGGGTTTAATAGCGACAAGCTTTTTTATTATGAGAAACAAAAGTTGGTCAAGCGAGAAAACAGGGGTGTGATAAGAGACGATATATATTTTGATAATGAAGGTCTTTATAATAGAAGAATTGTTAAGAATGTTGTAAAAGATTCGACGGGAGATCAGGCGGTAGATTTAAGAGAGAAGATAAAGAAAATTAAAGAAGAATTAAATATAAGTGACCCTTATTTTGATAAACAATGGTATTTGGTATAGTTTATTCTTTTTTTCATCAAAATTTGATTTTTTAATTAGTTCAATAAGGATAAAGCTGGTGTAGATATAAATGTTACAGGTGTATGGTTACAAGGTTTGATATTTGTGTTGTTGCTCGCCTTTTAATGATTTTAGGGATAAAGGGAAAAAATGTAACAGTTGCTATTGTAGATGATGGCTTAGATTATACTAACAAGGATTTGGCTCCAAATTATGTTTGAAAAACTATTATAAAATCACTATTTTAACTTTTTTCAGAATGCTAACGCTTCATATAATTTTGCTTCTAAAACTGGCGACCCAAAACCTGGACCTTCTGACACGCATGGTACTAAATGTGCAGGAGAAGTGGCAGGCGCCAGGAATGATTTTTGTGGGCTTGGTGTTGCATATGAATCTAATATTTCAGGTATTTTTCTTTAATTGGTACCAATCTAATATTGCTAAGGATTACGATTTATGCCTTCTGCTCGTTCGTCTTGGCTTGAAGGAGAAGCTCTTATTTACAAATATGATGTTAATCATATTTATTCTTGTAGCTGGGGACCTGCCGATACTGGGAATTTAACTCAAGATATTTTTTATACTACTTATTCTGCAATTATTAAAGGGATAAATCAAGGAAGGAATGGTCTTGGTTCTATATACGTTTTCGGGTCAGGAAATGGTGGATATTTTGATAATTGTAATTACGATGGATATGCAAATAGCCCATATACTATTACTATCGCTGCTATAGATGCAGAAGAAAAAAGATTCATATTTTCAGAGCCATGTCCTTGTATTTTAGCTTCTACGTATTCTGGCAAGCGTGGTGCATATATTGTAATCTTTTCTTTTTTTTTATAATAAATTGATCGTTTTAGTATACTACAGATGTTGGTACGACAGAATGCAGCATTAGACATACTGGAAGTTCTGCTTCTACACCTCTTGCTGCGGGTGTTATTGCTCTTCTTCTTTCAGCATGGTAAGAATATCATTAAAATTATTTGACTAAAAAATTAGTCCTAATCTTACATGGCGTGATGTTCAAGCTTTGATTGTGGAAACAGCTGTTCCATTTAATCCGAGTCATCCTGATTGGGATGATCTTCCTTCTGGACGTCGTTATAATAATTTTTTCGGTTATGGAAAACTAGATGCATATAGAATGGTCGAAAAAGCAAGAACATTTAAAACCTTAAATCCTCAGACAATGTTTTCAACTCAACTAATACCACTTAATAAGAAATTTTCTGAAAACGGTGGGCATATCACAAGCAGTTTTTATATTCATCGTGGATATCCTAAGCATTATAAATTTAAAAGTTTAGAGTATGTTGGTGTTTCATTTCATTATCACCACCAAAGAAGAGGTCATCTAGAGTTTAATATTACCAGTCCTTCTGGAGTTACTTCAGTATTAGCACATAGACGTAATCGTGATAAACATGGTGGCAGTATTCTTTGGACTTTTATGACTGTAAAGCATTGGTATTTTGTTTCATTTTGTAAAATAATAACTAATGATTTTAGGGGAGAATCCATTGTAGGTAATTGGACTATCGATGTTGAAGATAAAAAGGATGAGAATCTAGATGGTGGAGTTTTTGATTGGCAACTTCATTTTTTCGGGGAGTCTTGTGAATCAGAAGGCGTACCGCCTCCTTCATATCCTTTTCTATCTAGATATCCAACTACTACGCCTCCACCAGATCCAGATGCTACACCTTCTCCAGATCTGGATGCTAACCTTCAGCCAGATTCAAATGCTGACTCTCAACCTCAACCAGATGTTAAGCCTCTGCCTTCATTAGATATTGAGCCTCAACCTCCATCAGAACCAGATCCTAACCCTCCATCATATCCTAGCTCTCAGCAAGATCCAGATACTTCGCTTTCATCAAATCCAACTTCTACATCTTCATCAGAACCACCCCCGCCACCACCACCTCGGCCGGAACCACAACCACAACCAGAGACACAACCAGAGACACAACCACCACAACCACCACAACCACCACAACCACCACAATCAGAGACACAACCAGAGACACAACCAGAACCAGAACCAGAGCCAGAGCCAGAGCCACGACCAGAACCAGAACCAGAACCAGAACCAGAGCCACAACCACCACAATCAGTGCCACAACCACCACAACCAGAGACACAACCAGAGCCACAACCAGAGCCACCTGCATCTCCACCAAAACTACAACCGGAACAAAAACCAACATCAATAACTTCATCTACATCTACGACTTCATCTACATCTACGACTTCATCAAGCAAAACTAAAATATCAACCACTCGAAAAGCTTCATGTACTATAACAGTCTTTATAGGGCCATCTCCTACTGAGGGTGTTTCTACTGGATCAAGTGTTTCTCATCTTTCATTCTTCGAAAAAAGGCATTTGTTACTTCAAATGATATTATTGTTATTCTTTTTCTTATTTTTGGGTTACTCTTTTTAACCTATAGGATTTTTAAGAAAACAGACATCTCAGTGATAGACTTTCTATAATTGAGGCACTTAATGATGATTCTGATCCAAATATATCTTAAGAAATTGAAAAAGCTGCTATGTTGAAAAAAAACCGTTAATTCATTCAATATTAGTGATACTGCCGATTTTGATCTACATGAACAACGTACTCTTTATATTTTAATAATTAATTTTAATTCTATTTATGTATATATTTTTCTAATATATTTATGTATTATATTACTTCACCTATCATTCATCTTATGTTTTCTTATTCCAACTTTAATATTATATCTTAACATTAAAAATATAAAGTTAGAATTGCTTAAAAAAGTGTTTAATCAGTTAGCCTATCCTATTTTCTTGAACTATTTTTAAAGAATGCGCTCAAATGTATTATATTTATTAGTATATTTTATAGAGGTTTTTTTCTGATAAAAAAGGTGGTAATTATTGGATCATGGCCTTTTGGGTATATTTTAACTAATTGGGTATATTTTAACTAAATATGAACTTTATTTATAAAGTCCTAGTTATATGACAATTATTTATCTTGGAAGAGCAGAATTGAAGCTAATTCTTTATCAAGGAATCTTATCTAATGGTATTGCATCAGATGGAGAGATAACAACATAGAATAAAGGGATAAAAGAATCTGATAACCCTTTATTAATATCTTAAACATGGAAGAGATGTAGAAAATTATCAGAGATTTTCTGATGGTATTTTGGGTCTTTTATTAATCTAAGCTTTAGAAAGCAGTCAGAAAAAATAAGCTTTTCTGGAAAATTAAAGTAATATAAGAAAAAATAGAGAGAAGAATGTGTTTAATGAAACTAAAAGTGCATATCAAACATCATTAATCAAGTATTCTTTGATTAAAAATGAAGATCAAAAAAAGTATTGATTATAAATCAATATTGAAAACAATGCAATGATTAAAGAAAAAAATTAAGAATTAATTATTTGAATAAAGTTATAAATAAGAAAGATACTGGATTTAAGAATAATAATATAGTATTAAAAGTAGTAAAAGTTCGGAATGAATTAAAATAAATGTTAAAAGTCGGTAAATAAAATCTAATATATATATTATTTTATAAAAAACAATTGAATGGGATGAGAAGAAATATAGAAAAAAGCAAGAAAGATCATTTAAATTTATAATCAAGATTTGTAATGGTTTTTATTTTTATTAGTTTTTTCCTAATTTTTTTAGGGTTTATAGAAATCGTAAAATTTATCTTAAAACCTATTCATGAAGTAACTATCAAGCTTAATAAAGGACCCAATATAGGAGTATATTGTTAATATTTATGCTATATATTGGGATCCAGAAATAATATGAAATGCTTTTTTCCAAAATTAATAAAATTATAGTTCTAAGAATATTAATTTTAATTGGTGATTATATTTTGGATTATTTTTATTTTTAACTATTTATAGTTCCTACTTATGGCAATCAAAGCACACATTTGAAAGCCAGAGATTCTCAAGTAAGCGCAGCAAATACTCCGTTTAAGGATATTGTTGTTAAGGATGAAGAAATCCTTGCTTATATTTTGAGAGAAGATTATAAAGATAAATGCGAACTAAAGCTTGAGGAATATTGTAAAGAATTGAGGGATATAGATCAAGGATTAAATAAAGTTCATACTATAGTTAAAGAAATTTGTGATGATGAAAAACGAGACGGAAAATGCAAAGAACTGAAAGACAAAGTTAAAAAGGAATTGGAAACTTTTAAAGAGGAACTTGAAAAAGCATTGAAAGACATAAAAGATGAAAATTGTGAAAAATATGAAGAAAAATGTATACTTTTAGAAGAGACGAATCATGATGATATTAAGAAGAACTGTGTCCAGTTGAGGGAAGGATGTTACATATTCAAGCGTGAAAATGTGGCAGAGGAGCTCCTTTTGAGGGCGCTTGGAGGGAATGCCAAAGAAATGTTTGATTGTAAAACAACGATGGAAGATGTTTGCCCAGTGTTAATCCAAAAAAGCGACGAGTTGATGTCTTTTTGCCTTAATCCGAATAAAACGTGTGAAAATCTAAAAAAAAAAATGAAGGATATTTGCAAACCTATAGAAGAATTGAATGAGAATGAATTAGCAGAAAAGTGTTATGAAAGACTTGAGAAATGTCATTTTTACGGAGAAGCGTGTGCTGATGCAAAATGTCAGGTCTTTGAGGAGGAATGCAAGAAAAATAATATTACATATAAAGCGCCAGGATCCGATTCTAGTCCTGTCGAACCGAAGCCGTCGTTGTTGACAAGGATTGGGTTAGATGCTGTCTATAAAAAAGCTGAAAAAGATGGAATTTTTATTGGAAAACAAGGAGCAGATCTACCAAGGAGGTTTGGTGATTATTTTCTGCAAAGTCTCTTGCTACTGTTGAGTGAAGATGAGAATGATGCAAAAAAGAAATGCCCTAAAGCGTTAAGTAAATGTGATTATTTTGCCTACTTTGATGATAGTTTGAGTGAGTTATGCATAAGTAGAGCTACTAGAACCGAAAAATGCAAAGAATTACTAGATGTAAAAGAAAGATGTACAAAACTCAAAATAAATCTTTATCTGAAAGGATTGTCTACAGTGTTTAAAGATGAAGAATCAGAACTTTTATCGTGGGGACAGCTTTCGACATTATTTACAAAGGGAGAGTGTATAGAGCTTGAGTCGGAATGTTTCTATTTAAGAAAGGCGTGTAAAGATAATAAGATTGATCAAGCATGTAAAAATGTACGAGCAGCGTGCTATAAAATGGGACAAAATAGGATGTTGAATAGGTTCTTTCAAAAGGAACTAAAGGGGAAGCTTGGTGATTTAAGATTTAATAGTGAAAGTCTTAAAAAATGCCAAGAATATGTGGTAGAAAACTGTGCAAAACTTAAAGATAAAAGATACCTTCCAAAATGTCTTTACCCTAAAGAACTATGTTATGCGGTTTCAGATAATATTGTTGTTCAATCAAGAGAGTTAGGTGTGCTTTTGGATGGTCAGAGAGATTCTCCATTAGAAAAACATTGTCTTGAGTTGGGGGAGAAGTGTGATGAACTTGATAGGGATTCATATTTGAATTCTGGAAAGTGTGCAACATTGAAAAGACGCTGTGAATTCTTTAACGTTACAAAGAGATTTAGAAAAGAATTTTTAAAAAGAAAAGATGATTCGTTAATGACTCAGGATAACTGTACGAAGGCGTTGCATGAGAAATGTGAAGCTTTGTCTAAGAGGGGAAAGAATCCATTTAAGGTTTCATGTGCTTTGCCAGGAGAAACATGTAAATATATGGTACACCATACAAGACAAGATTGTTTTTATTTAAGTGCCAACATGGAAAATGAAGAAATTCTAGAAGGAATTGGAAAAGCAAATGAAACCTTGGTTGAAAAACTCTGCACAACATGGGGCCCATATTGTCACCAATTTATGGAGAATTGTCCAAGTACTTTGAAAAAAAATAAAATTAACCAAGGTTATAATTGTGAAGAACTCGATGAAAAATGCAGGGATACTTTTAAAAAGTTGGAATTGGAGGAGGAGCTGAGTCATCTGTTGAAAGGCAGTTTAAGCAACGGTGATCAATGTAAAGAAGCATTGAAGAAGCGTTGCACTGAGTTGGAAAAGAATAAAACGTTCAATGATCTGCTTGGCGATTGTGAAGAGGGTGCCAAGGGAGATATTTGCAAAAAATTAGTTGATAAACTACAGAAGAGATGTCCTACTTTAAAAACCGAACTGAAGAAAGCAGAAAAGGAGTTGAAGGTCAAGAAGGATGAATACGATAAGGTCAAAAAGGCGGCAGAAGATTCTACGGAGACAGCTAAATTATTGCTATCAAGGCCTAAACAAGACAAACCGCCAAATGCGCAGAATGGCAGTGATTCTACACTAGTACCACCACCACAACAAGCACCAGCAGGGTCATCAGGATCAGGGTCACTACCAGCACCAGGGCCATCAATTGATGGAAAGGCAGACATGCCAGGTGGAGCATCAGGTACACCAAGTGGAATCCAAGACGCAGCAGATGGAACGACGAACAATGCAAAACTTGGACTCGTTAAAAGAGCATATGTAGATGGAGAAGTATCAGAAGCAGAGGTAAAAGCATTTGATGCAACGACGATAGCATTGGAATTGTATTTGGAATTGAAAGAGGGATGCAAAGCTTTACAACTAGATTGCGGTTTTAAAGAGGATTGTAAGGGTCTTGAAGTTTGCGAAGAAATAGACAAGTTATGCAAAGAAATAAAACCATTAGAAATTAAGCCTCATCATACAGAGACAATAATAAAAGAACCCATGACAGTTACGATGACGGAAACAAAGACCATTGACAAGGCTGATGGGAAGACCGGTACGAAGACTATTACGATAGCCGAGTCAGTAGGTGGAGGAAAAGTAACAGAACAGTGTACATTAGTGCGGACGACAGATATATGGGTGACGAGTACGTCATTGCATACGAGCACCGTGACAAGTACGCCTACTGTGACGTCTACAGTGACGTTGACGTCGATGCGCAAGTGCAAGCCTACCAAATGTACCACCGATTCAAGCAAAGAGACAGATAAAGGAGAAGATGAAGAAGAAGAAGTGAAACCGAATGATGGGATGAAAATAAGAGTTCCTGATATGATTAAAATAATGTTGTTGGGAGTGATTGTTATGGGGATGATGTAAAATGAATGAAAAAATGTTAATAGAATGAAAATGTGCATATATCCATTGTTTATATATAATAGAAATGTAAATGAATGAATGAATTGAAAAATAAAGTTTTAATCATTTTAGTCCGATATTTTAATTAATAATTTAGCTTTATCGGGTAAAGTTTACTCTTATCTCAGAACTAGTGAGCTCTTATCGTAGAAAAGCTAATAAAATTTATGATTATGATAACAACTCTAACTTGTAAAAAATCGTTTCAAAACAACTTTTCACTCACTTCCCTACATCCAACTTAGAAACCATCCACTTAACTCCCACCAAATAGGTGGCAATGGCACGGCCGGTTAAGAGGCAAGCACAAGTAGTACAAGTAGCACAAGATGAGATTAAGGAGGAACACCTTTTGGCTTTCATTGTGAAGGACAAACATGATGATGAGAATGAATGCAAAAAAAGGCTCGAGGAATATTGTAAAGAGTTGAAGAAAGCAGATGAGAATTTCAGTGTGAATGAGAAAGTTAAAGGACTTTGTGATGATAAAAAACGAGACGAAAAATGCAAAGAACTGAAAAAAAAAGTTAAAGATGAATTGGGAACTTTTGATACGGATCTTGAAGCATCGGTAGATGACATAGAAGATGAAGGAGTTTGTAAAAAACATGAAGAAAAATGTATACTTTTAGAGGAAGCAGACCCAAATAGTCTTAAGGAGAACTGTGTCAAGTTGAGGGAAGGATGTTACGAATTGAAGCGTAAAAAGGTGGCAGAGGAGCTCCTTTTGAGGGCGCTCGGAAAGGAAGCTAAAGAAGAAGTTAAATGTCAAGCAGAGATGAAAAAGGTTTGCCCAGTGTTAAGCCGAGAAAGCGACGAATTGATGTTTTTGTGCCTTGATTCGGATGGAACGTGTCAAGCGCTGAAAAAAAAATCAGAAGAAGTTTGCCAGCTTTTAAAAGAAAAGCTTAAAGATGGCGAATTAAAGGAAAAATGTCATGAAAGACTTGAGAAATGTCATTTTTACGGAGAAGCGTGTGATAAAACAAAATGTGATGAGGATAAGGATCAATGCGAGAAAAAAGAAATCACATATAAAGCGCCAGAATCTGATTCTAGTCCTGTCAAGCCGAAGACGTCGTTGTTGAGAAGTATTGGGTTGGATGATGTGTATAAAAGAGCTGAAAAAGAAGGAATTATTATTGGAAAATCAGGAGTGGATCTACCAAGAAAGTCAGGTACAAAATTTCTGCAAGATCTCTTGCTAGTGTTGAGCAGAAATGAGAATGATAAGGATGCGGGGAAGAAATGCACCGAAGCGTTAAAAAAATGCAAAGATCCTAAGTATTTGGATCATAATTTGGAAGAGTTATGCGATAAAAATGATAACGACAAATGCAAAAAAATACTAGATGTAAAAGAAAGATGTACAAATCTCAAATTAAAACTTTATCTCAAAGGGTTGTCTACAAAATATGATGATAAAGAATCAGAACTTTTATCGTGGGGAAAGCTTCCAACCTTTTTTATAAAAGGAGAGTGTGCAGAACTTGAGTCGGAATGTTTCTATTTAGAAAAGGCGTGTAATAATAAGATTGATGAAGCATGTCAAAATGCAAGAGCAGCGTGCTATAAAAAGGGACAAGACAGGATGTTGAATAAGTTCTTTCAAAAGGAATTGAGGGGAAAGCTTGGTCTTGTAAGATATCGTAGCGATCCTAAAGAATGCAAAAAATATGTGGTAGAAAACTGTACAAAACTTAAAGAAGATAAAAGATACCTTTCAAAATGTCTTTATCCTAAAGAACTATGTTATGGGCTTTCAAATGATATTTTTCTTCAATCCAAAGAGTTAAGTTTGCTTTTAGATGATCAGAGAGATTTTCCATTTGAAAAGGATTGTGTTGAATTGAAGGAGAAGTGTGATGAACTTGGTAGTGATTCATTATTGAATTTAGAAAAGTGTATAACATTGAAAAGACGCTGTGAATACTTTAAGGTTACAGAGGGATTTAGAAACGTATTTTTAGAAAAAAAGGATGATTCGTTAATGACTCAGGAAAACTGTACAAAGGCATTGCATGAGAAATGTAATGCTTTATCTAGGAGGAGAAAGAATTCATTTAGTGTTTCATGTGCTTTACCAGAAGAAACATGTAGTTATATGGTATTCCACACAAGTCAAGATTGTAAATATTTAAAAGAAAACATCAAGAATGGAGGAATTGTAGGAAAAATTGGGGGAGCAAATGGAAATGAAGCAACACTCGAAGAACTCTGCACAACATGGGGCCAACATTGTCACCAACTTGTGGAGAATTGTCCAGATCAGTTGAAAAAAGAGAATGGCAATAATCATAACTGTGATGAACTCGATGAAAAATGCAGTGATACCTTTAAAAGGTTGAAATTAGAGGAGGAGCTGACTCATCTGTTGAAAGGCAGTTTAAAGAAGGATGATCAATGTACAGAAGCATTAGGAAAGAATTGCACTGACTTGCAAAAGAATGAAACATTCAAAATTCTGCTTAGTGATTGTGAAAAAGATAAGCAAAATGTTTGCACAAAATTAGTTAAAAAAGTACAAGAGAGATGTCCTACTTTAAAAGCTGATCTGGATAAAGCGAAAGATGAGTTGACAAAGATGAAGAATGAGTACGAAAAGGCAAAAGAGGAGGCAGAAAAATCTACAAATAAAGCTAGCTTATTGCTATCAAAGTCTGGAAAAGCCGCAATGCCAAGTGGACAGGATAGCAATGGCTCTGTACCAGCACCACCAGCAGAGCCAGCACCAGGGACACTACCACCACCACCATCAACTGACGGAACGGTAAACACGCCAGCTGGAGGATCAGGGACATCCGCTGGAGGATCAGGCACACCAAGTAGTGGAACGACAGACTCTGCAAAACTTGGACTCGTTAAAAGAGCGTATGTAGAAGGAGGAGTATCAGAAGTAGAGGTAAAAGCATTTGATGCAACGACGGTAGCATTGGAATTGTATTTGGAATTGAAAGAGGAATGCAATGCTTTAGAACTAGATTGCGGTTTTAAAGAGGATTGTTCAGATCTTCAAGTTTGCGGAGAAATAGACACGTTATGCGGAGGAATAAAACCATTAGAAATTAAGCCTCATCATACAGAGACAATAACAAATAAGGTGACGGAAACGAAGACGGAAACAAAGACAGAAACAAAGACTGATGACAAGGCTGATGAGAAGACCGGTACGAAAACTGTTACAGAAACCAAGACAATAGGTGGAGGAAAAGTAACAGAAGAGTGTACAATGATACAAACAACAGATACATGGGTAACACGTACATCATTGCATACGAGTACGACAACGAGTACGTCAACGGTGACGTCGACAGTGACGTTGACGTCGATGCGCAAGTGCAAGCCTACCAAATGTACTACTGATTCAAGCAGAGAGACAGATAAAGGAGAAGAAGGAAAAGAAGGAGAAGAAGATGTAAAACCGAATGATGGGATGAAAATAAGAGTCCCTGATATGATTAAAATAATATTGTTGGGAGTGATTGTTATGGGGATGATGTAAATGAATGAAAAAAATGTTAATAGATTGAAAATGTGCATATATCCATTGTTTATATATAATAGAAATCTAAATGAATGAAATGAAGTTTTAATTATTTTAACACACCATCTTAGTTCGAAACTATGCTTTATCGGGTAAAGTTTAAGCTTATCGAAGAACTAAAGTTTATGATAAGAAGATGTTTAAATTTGTTGTAAAAGCACTTGAATGAATGGATTATCGTGAAAAAAAGAGAGTTCTGCGTATCTTAAAGAATTAGTAGGGGTTATCATTATTTTAAAAAAATGAGTCAAGTGTAAAACCAGCGTAAAAAGAGTCCATCTCATCTCATAAACAACGACTCCAGTCTAAAATGATTGTAAAATGGATCTATCATGAAACACTAACCCTCCTAACCCTAACCCTAATCCCACTAACCAGAGAAAGAAGTTATCTTGAACCCATTAAAAGACGATTTGAAATCGAGAGCTTTATGATCATCAAAAAGAGAAACATTAGATCGATTGAAAATGGAATGATCATGAAAAGTTGTAACCCTAACCCTAACCCTAAAGTGACTAACCAGATCACCCGACTCTTCTAAAACCACTAGAATCTCATTGCAAAATCAGTCAACTGAATGTCCATTTAAAAAGAAGTACTACGATTTATTCAATTCTTTTATTATTTTAAAAAAGAAGAGCAAACTTTATAACTACTTAAAAAAAAAATAAAATCCAAGTTTATTCTAAAAACGATTAGAATAATTGTAAAAGAACTAATAAACTTTATGATTATTTTAAAAAAACTAGTGAAATCTATTGTTTATTTAAAAAAATTAGTAAAATCCAAGTTTGTTGTAAAAAAATTAACTCTACGCTAATTACAAAAAAACTAGGAAATCTATTGGTTATTTAAAAAATATAGTCAAATCCAAATTTCTTGTAAAAAACCAGTAGAATTATTCCAAGAAAATTGATAAACTCTATTGTTTATTTTAAAAAAATCAGTAAACTCTAAGATCATTGTAAAAAACTAGTGAAATCCAAGTTTGTTATAAAAAACCACTAGAATGATTGTAAAAGAACTAATAAACTTTATGATTACTTTAAAAAAAATAAAATCTGTTGATTATTTCAAAAAAACATCTAAATTTTATGATTACTCCAAAGAATTAGTAGAATCTATTGTTTATTTTAAAAAAATCAGTAAACTCTACGCTAATTACAAAAGAACTAGTGAAATCAATTGTTTATTTAAAAAAAATCACTAAACTCTAAGATCATTGGAAAAAAATAGTGAAATCCAAGTTTATTGTAAAAAAGTTAATTAACTCTAGGCTAATTACAAAAGAAGTAGTGAAATTTATTACTTGTTTTAAAAAAATTACTAAAATCCAAGTTTGTTGTAAAAAACTAGGAAATCTATTGATTATTTCAAAAAAATTAATAAACTCTAAAATCATTGAAAAAAACCAGTGAAATCCAAGTTTATTGTAAAAACGATTAGAATAATTATAAAAGAAG